CTACCTGAATTGAATTGAAATCGAATTTTGAGATTATTTATTATCCTCCTGTAATTTGGCTGACTGACTGATTGGTGGTAATAAAATCTGCTATGCATATCTGTGGTATTTGCATTCAGTCATTTCTGTTTCATGTGTTGTTTTGGATGAACCAGGTAGGATTTAGTAATCAACCTATATCTCACTCTACCTGCCTATATTACTTCTTAGAATTTTAACCCTTTCCCGCCCTATTGTGTAGTTGTGTGGTAATGCAGTGAAGTGCAATCCCTGAGCTTTTTTCTAAATTACTTATCTTTTCAGGGGCAATTATTCTTCCCTTCGCTAAATTCTCCTTAAGTTCTGACAATCTGACTATCCCTGAACTCCTAGTTTGACCTATATAGTTGACCTCACAGTCATTACAGGGTATTTTGTAAATTATATTATTTTGTTTAATTGAGTCCACCGGGTCTTTTAGCCTACAGAGCTTGTTTCTGCCTGAGTGAGTTTGTATGTTTGAATGCCACCCTAATTTCTACTTACTATTATTATTGTTTCTGAATGTACATTATCCTATATTGATTTTTATTCAAATGTCTAATCAGCGTTTCCCTCATGAATATAAATAAAGTAAAAGGTTGTGTGACTAAAGGAATTGATATGATTATGAGTGGCAATAGTTTGTGCTCTAAACGTGGTCGCATCAGTTATTATCAGTGTATAACACCATTATGTGTGACTTAACAAAGTAAAATCTCATCCACAATGGAGTTATTTTAGGCTTACATTGTTATACTCAGCTAAAACACTCTTAATAGGAGAGTTTAACCAAAAATCCATGCATACATAAATCGAAAGTTTGACATTCCATTTATAAATATTCAACCAAACAAAAGTTATCATTAATTGGTGGATAATGACTAGCAGTGGAACCCCTTATGAGAATTTTGTCCTATTTGGGACTCGTTAACTGGATGTACCTGCATTTCCTAGTGACAGTGATGATATTCCCAACGATGCTCGAACCCAGTGACCATAGTTTCAAACGCCAAGCGTTATCCACTTGGGCCACAAGAGCTGGCCACCTCTTATGCAATGGGTCATATTAATCTAATTGAACTTCAGATTTTCCCATTGATTGATTGGACTGAAGTGCTCAGTCTCAGATTAACACATCGGCTTCTTGTCTAGTGGTCTGTCTGTCTGTCTGTTTTCGACATAGAACTTTGCACAAATGTGCGGAAGTTCAAGTCGCCACATTCCGTGTAGCACGCGAAGCAAGAGAAGAAAGTACAAGAAAAGCATAATAGAAACAGTGAGCAGAGGTGTGAGACAAAGGAGGGGTAATAACGAAGAACAAAACAGTTTCATTAGAGATCATAAGTCACAAGGAGTGGATGCATCTGCGCCACTGAGAACGATTTTGAGCCATGTCACCAATTTTTTCCAACCATAGATGTTTACCGTCCCGAGGACCCCAGCCTGGAAGTCTACACCTCCCTACGTGGCTTAGACCAACTGTTGTGGATTTCACTGACTGATGCCAAGTTTTTGTTTGACCGCCGCTAGCTTTTTTCCAGCCTGACCCTATATCAGCTAACATTGCCCGTCAGTTGAGGAAGGCGATGACTAGGTATACGTAACACATGTCCTAACCATCTAAGTCTTTGTAGCTTCACGACTTCGTCGATTGATTTCCCCTGTTTACCTAGAACTCTACGCCTAACCTCCATGTTGCTCACCTTATTATGCCACTTTACACGGGAAATAGAACGCAGGCACCTATGATCAAAGACAGCTAGTCTTTTCATGTCTTCCACTCTCAGTGGCCAGGTCTCACAGCTAGCCATAAAGGAGGACGGAGCGGACTGATGAGCAGTACACCCGCCCTTTGGTCGATAGTCGAACATCTCGTCTACGCCAGAGTCGGCGTAAACTAACAAATGCGAAACGAGCCCCTTGTATTCGTGCTGAGATTTCGTCAGAGATCAACCGTTGGGGCTGATGGTGCTTCCCAAATAAGTGAAGCGGTCAACGTGCTCTACCACTTCACTTCCTATTTTTAAACTAGGCGTCGATGTAGTCCAGTCCTGTAACATCATCTTGCATTTGGCGGGAGCGAATCGCATGCCAATGTCTAGTGGATAAGGCTTTGGTGTTGGAAACTATGGACATTTGGTTTGAGCCTCGGTGAGGGATGCAGATACATCCAGGTGTGACGAGTCCCAAGTAGGATGAAATGCGCATCCTGGATTCTACTGCTAGTCACCATCCACCAAATAAATGTCAATTAAATGCCCAGACATCGTCGAAGCATCAACACAAGAAATCAACAGACATGTCAAACTGAGACCGAACACTTCGGTTCAAACAATCGACGGGAAAATCTAAAATTCAATTAAATGTAATTTTTCATGACAGAAAAAGTGTATTTTTATAAAACATTGATGTAAAGTTGTATATATTCTGAAATATCTACAGAAAAAGCACAAAAACGTTGAAAATGCAGACGAATTCTTCCTCGTATTTATCGTTCACAGTGTGGTGTTGTTTTTTGCTTTTAAAGATACAGTCGCAGATATGCCTCCTATTCCCCTCGCCTTTCGACTTCTTCGCCTTCTTCTCCTTGTTCTTCTGCTTCTTTCATATGATAAAGAGTTTGAATGTTTATATCGACGAACATGATATAACCAAAAGACAATTGGATTTGCTGCAGCATTCAAATGTACTAATTGCTTGTAGATAAAAAAAATATACAAAAAATATATTAAAAATAGATGAAAAAATCAGTAAAGGAAATCTAAAATAGTGTTAACTGTAAGTAAATGTGAATTAAGGGTTAAAATGGATGAAAAAGTCATTGCAACATTTTTGCTCTATCGTCACATCGTGAATGGAACATAAGGCTTTCACAGCATATATATATATATATATATATATATATATATATATATGTACTGTAATCTCTTTTCCGTCCTATTCATGCATGTTTCCCTCCAAAGGTTTTTATGATAACAGTTTGTTGACTGATTCATTGCTCTGTAGATTCCTTTTCTGGAATTCAAAACGTTTATTTTCCACAGTTTGATTTATTAGGTCCATTCAGATGTCACATGTGAGGATGGATTTCTCAACGACGACATTGGTTGGGGTCAAGCTAAGTCACGAAATGGTAGAAGTTAGAATTCATGCACTAGCCAGTGAGAAGTCGTTTACCAGTGGTTGAATGGTATACTAGCTAGCTTGTCTTTTAACCGGAAGGTCCTGGGTTTGAACGCCCTTTTGCAGTAGGTGAGTAGTGCCGATGATTCTCAAACTAGGATGAAACATCTGGCTGTCCAGTACTGGTTTTCAATGGCACTCTAACCGATAACAATTCGTGTTCAACTCGTAAAAACATTTTATTTCCGATACGAAGTTAAAACAAGCAATAACGGTTAAAAAAGCAGGATGGTTTAATGAATTCATCAAATTTCGGTAGAACTCTTTCTCAGCTGAGTACTCTACATACACGGATATGTATATACTTTTGAAATTACATTGCGAGATATAACAGTGATAAGTAAACAAACTTCATTGAATTAGTTATGGAGAAAGACAGGTGCGAATGCTTTCCAGGTCATGTTCAAATAGATAAGTGGGGGAAGGGAGTATGAGAGATCAAAATTAAGATAAATTGCATTACGCCTCAATTACATCACTTAGATAAACAGTTATGCATTAGAGAATATAACAAGAATTGCAAACAGAGTAATATCAATAGTAATAGTTGTAATAACAATAATAATAATGGTGTTGAAGTGAGTTAAGATAATCCTACTGATAAAGGATAGTTTTAAATGAATCACGAATAATAATAATAATAGCGATAATAATAAGACGTAGAATAATGCGTAAAACGTAGTACCATGGTAGATTTACAGTGACCACCATCTCTTTTTTGTACACAGAGACCTGGTTTATAAACTCTACTTGTCAAGTCATTCACTGTTGTCAGCAGACAAAGAAACAAGAAGATGCTTGCAATTGCAGAGACTTGTGCAAATGGAGCTTATAAACCAGGTCTCTGTGTACGAAAGGAGATGGTCTTCACTATGACTCTACCATGGTAATACGTTTTACTTATCATTCTACCTCTTATTATTATTATTATTATTCTTGATTCATTTAAAACTATCCTTTATCAGTAGGATTATCTTAACTCACTTCAACACTATTATTATTATTGTTATCATAACTATTACTATTGATATTACTCTGTTTGCAATTCTTGATATTTCTCTAGTGACTAATAATTTATCTGAGTGATGTAATTGAAGAGTAATACATTTTATCCTAATTTTCATATCTTATACACCCTTCCCCCACTTATCTATTTGAACATGACCTGGAAAACATTCGCACCTGTCTTTCTGCATAACTAATTCAATGTAGTGTATCAGTCTTATATCTCCCAATGTAATTTCAAAAGTATATACATATCCGTGTACGTAGAGTATTCAGCTGAGGAATAGTTCTACCGAAATTCGATGAATTCATGAAATCATCCTGCTTTAATAACCTGGTTTGTTGCTTGTTCTAAATTCGTGCCGCGAAATAAATGATATCACTTCTCGAAAATTGTAACAACTGCGAAAACACTACACTGACCAAAGTGGACGTCCCCTTCGTCTTCATATCCATCAACATAAGCTAGCCGTCAAAAGATGTGAAATACACTCCATCACTCATATCACTACATACAGACAACCACGGACATCAATTCGACTGGGACAACATTCAAATATTAGACAGAGGAAACAACAAGAAGGCTAGAGAATTTTTAGAAGCTTGACATTCTAGTGAATCATCAACCAATAGACACATCGAGACAGACAAAATTTATCAACCGATAAGAAAGGAACATCACACACAAATGGTCAAAGTTCAAGCCAAAGAAACAGTCAGTTCCAATACAAGTAACCTAGAAGGTGTTAAAACACACAGAAACAACCAATCACGTTCAAGTTCACCAGGAGAGATTATTATTAAACTCGTGGAGAAACCTAAAAGCTCACTTCAAGTTGAAGTATGCGCTGGAGATATCGCCTAGTAGGGTGATGAAAGCTTCTCAAATTAACTATTCATCCCAGAGAAAACAAACACACCTGAGCTACAAATCTTTTCCATCATGTCTACAAGAAACTCTGGTAGACAGTGGAATGCCTAGCATGTATGCAGTAGGGATCGGCGGTGGATGAAACATCAGTGAGGAAAAGTTAAGTGATATCACACATCAAAACATATGTAATTCTCCCCGAAATCGGCTTCAGAGGCAAAGATGTGGAAGTGTTTGAAAAAGAAATTTTTACCTGTAAGTATTCATCTAGCCATTTGAAACTGATGGGAATGAAGGAGGTACAATCAAGATGTACTTAAAATCTCAATGCTCCAGCATGGACACTGAAAATGAATAATAATAATATTATATGTATGTTGTCTCTATGCCAGACTTTTAAAATTTTTTGAATACCAAATCCCCACTGTTCATCAGAATCACAGTAATCAACAACTAGTTATCACCTCTAGGAGAAAGTGGGTGTACACTGACTAGGACGGAGGAAACAGCTGTCTGGCGGTACTTCAAGCTTTTTTTCCAATGGCTATCTAACCGATGTCAGCTCATGATGAAATCCACCAAACAATAAAAAACAAAATTCCCTCCAAAACTGTAACCTTCAGATAATCAGATGTACAATCACCTAAATTTCCCTCAGTATAGAAACCAAAAAGTAGATTACTTTACACTGTCATTAAACACAAAATAAGACAAGGACTCACATTGAATACAACAGACGTATACCTCAATGAAAGCTCCATTCTTTGAATACCACCGAGAGTAATAACAAAATTCCATACCATGTAAGGTAGCCAGCATGCAATGAAAACTGCAAAATGAAAGTAACAATGTCCCTCCTGGATAAATAATAATACTATCATAGTTTTGTCATTTTCAAAAAAAGTAAAACAATTGAAGTGTTATAATTATTAGAAGAAAAAAATTATAGAAAAAATCCCCATTTAGACATTTTGAAAAAACATAAAGATTGAGCGAAGACATATTTACTCTTTTCAATTAGATCCTCATCTCACTCTGGCTCTACTCTAATATACACGTATAGCATTTTTATTACATTACACAACAATTTACCTAATCAAGTGGCACTGATATGTTTGTTAACAATAATTGGTCAGTGTCAAAATTCCGAGAAAATATATTGCACTGATTAAGGCACTCTACTCGTACTCATACAGCCAGGTGAGGGCTTACGGCGAGCTGTCATCTGAACTGATGACGACCAGTGGTGTCCGTCAAGGATGCTCATTATCCCCTTTTCTATTCAACTTCATCATAGATGTGTTAATGGACTTAACCCTAGGTGACTTCAGCGACTCAGGGATTGACTTGCTACAGGGGAATAATCTCGTTGACTTGGAATATGCAGACGATATAGTCCTTCTAGGCGAAGACGCTGACGAAATGCAGAGTCTTCGGAACACCTTGAGCCGCAATCTACGAATATTTGGCATGCGACTCGCTCCCGCCAAATGTAAGATGATGTTACAGGACTGAACTACATCGACGCCTAGTTTAAAAATAGGAAGTGAAGTGGTAGAGCACGTTGACCGCTTCACTTATTTGGGAAGTACCATCAGCCAGTGCCAACGGGGTGATCTCTGACGAAATATCAGCACGAATACAGGGGGCTCGTTTCGCATTTGCCAGTTTACGCTGACTCTGGCGTAGACGAGATGTTCGACTATCGACCAAAGGGCGGGTGTACTGCTCATCAGTCCGCTCCGTCCTCCTTTATGGTTGTGAGACCTGGCCACTGAGAGTGGAAGACATGAAAAGACTAGCTGTCTTTGATCATAGGTGCCTGCGCTCTATTTCCCGTGTAAAGTGGCATAATAAGGTGAGAAACATGGAGGTTAGGTGTAGAGTTCTAGGTAAACAGGGGAAATCAATCGACGAAGTCGTGAAGCTACAAAGACTGAGATGGTTAGGACATGTGTTACGTATGCCAAGTCATCGCCTCCCTCGACGAGCTATGTTAGCGGATATAGGGTCAGGCTGGAAAAAAGCTAGCGGCGGTCAAACAAAAACATGGCACCAGTCAATGAAATCCACAACAGTTGGTCTAAGCCACGTAGAAAGGTGTAGACTTCCAGGCTGGGGTCCTCGAGACGGTAAAAATCTATGGTTGGAAACAATTGGTGACATGGCTCAAAACCGTTCTCAGTGGCGCAGATGCATCCACTCCTTGTGACTTATGATCTCCAGTGATACTGTTTTGTTCTTCGTTATTACTTCTCCTTTGTCTCACACCTCTGCTCACTGTTTCTATTATGCTTTTCTTGTACTTTCTTCTCTTGCTTCGCGTGCTACACGGAGTGTGGCGACTTGAACTTCCGCACATTTGTGCAAAGTTCTATGTCGAAAACAGACAGACAGACAGTGTCAAAATATCAAGGCGACGGGTGATATTTAATGAGGAAAATCAATACACATTTAAAAGGTAGAAATGGTTAGAATAAATTAATTTTACAAGGATAACACGTAAATTAAAGATGAAGTGGTCAGAAAATATAATAAAATAATTAGGACAATTATAATTTTTATGATTTTTAAAGGTTTTAGGGGAATGGGGGCAAAGTAGTCCGGTTTATACATTCATATAACAATGGCCAAGGTAAGGAAAGTGGCTACACAAATTTCTTCTAAACATACACAAGTTTGGCTTTTTCAGGTGGATTCCTATCGCTTCAGCTGTCTGTAGAAGACGAACTCTTAGAGCAAAATTAAGATTAGTAGGAATGCGATAGGTAATTTTAAATGTTGTATTAACGTCAACCTAATGCTCACTATCTACAAGGTGGGCTAAATTTAGAGCTACGAGTAGATCTTGTTTGTTCCTTGCTTAACCTTGTTGGATGATGTTCGGAAATACGATGACTAACTCCGTAATTGTACGCCAAATGTAGCTGGCTCCACAGCTGCAGTCAAATTGGTAGATACAAAAGGAATAAGCTACTAGTTATTGCCTTAGTGAGAATGTAAAATCTAATTCAAATGGAAGTATACGCTGAAGATGTTTGTCTGGAAAGCTAACGAACGCTTCTCACAAATAAATCATCCAGCTCAGAGTAGGCAATCACAGCAAAATCGTATAACCAATAAAAACATAAACTTTCAGTTTAAAAAAGATAGTGAAATATGACGTCAAAAATGTATTGGAATTCGTAGACAAAATCAAAGAAAGTAATATCAACGACAAAACCATGATATCTTTGAACATAAAATCTTTGATCACAAATGTACCTCTAGTACAGGGCATTTTAGATATGATAGAGAAGATTTGTAGCTCAGGTGGATGATTTTGATGTGGTTTTGTTCTCTGAGCTGGATGGTTAACAGGGTATTTTAATTCCTAATTGTAATTTTTATTAATGTGACTTTTAACCTGAAACTATTCTGGAACTTTCCCATCCATTTGCTATAAATACAAGAATGTACAGCCTAGATGATGACTTCGTCGAAAAGAAAATTTTCTTCGCTGCAACTGTCTTCTTAATAACTCCTATGATCCAATGCGTATATTCCATGACTGGTAAATTTGTCATGATGTCAGTTGACAGAAGGTTCAACAATTAGTGAACAGTGCTCAGAAAATTGCGCTTACATAGATTCTACACAGGCAGTTCAAGTTTAAACAAAATAAATGTATGCATACAATGATAAAGGAGTTGCGTAATAAAGACGAGAGATGCGTACGATGCAGAGTGACTTATACATTAGGCAACAATATACTGAGTTCAACTCAAATCATAGAAACAAGAGACAAGCAAAATCACACTGTATCAAAGAGGTGAAGTTAACGCCAAAGATTACGTAATCAAATGAGAGAGAGAATAAAGACATCCAGTTATCAGGTGAGGCAAGGAAAGACTAATAACTGCTTCTTTCTGAACACATAAATCTGGTTTTAAGCGTTTGCTAGAAATTGCTTCGCCAAACTTGACAAGAATTGAGCTCCTTTGTCTATTATTTATTTTAAAGGATTTTGCGATTTCCATCTCATGAATTATATCGAGGAGATGACTGGTAATAGCGCTGTTATAAGAATTGGTTCCCTTGAGACTTAGATTTTTCGGTAGATGTTCAGAAAATCAAAGGTGTGCCCTTCTCTTTGTTCTCTCGAGGTATTTTGAAAAGTCATTTTTAATACAAAACACTAAATCAACTTGCTTTGTTTTATGCATTAGATAAATACAAAACATGGAAGGCAATCTGGTGTACATAGACCTGATACTTTCACGTTATTGAAATAATTTTTAACAAAAATGATTAGCCTTCATAGTGGGCAATACAAAGGTAGACCAAACTAACAAATGTTCTGTGACGTAAATAACTTTTGCCTAACTAAATATGGGTCGCCATACCTTTTCTTTGTGTGTTCTGTCTTAAGAACACAGGTGGAAACTTATATTTACTACTATTACTCCATATTAGTTTGTTTATTAAATGTATCACACAGTGAAACAGTATTGTATACTGGATGTCCTTCACTTATGAATTGGAAAGTCAGGAAGCGGAACTTCCAATGTTAGATTGCAACGTAAAAAGGAAACAAGATTGGAAGTCTAACATTGATGTTTACAGAAAACCCACACATTCAAACAGATATTTGGATTTCCGATCATCCCATCCTATGTCAGTAAAAATAGGATTGGGGAAATGTTTAAATGACAGAGCACAAAAACTAAGTAGTACCAAGGAAATTCTAAGACAGGAAGTGGTACACATAAAAGAAGCCTTGAAACTTAATAATTACCCGGATAAATTAGTCAAGAAATATGTAAGTAAATGTAAAAATAAGATAAATAATGATAATACCGATAGTGATAATAACAATAATAATAATAATGGTAATAATAATAGTGATAATAATAATATTAAAAGCGATACCAAGAATAAGGAATGTAAATCATCAACAGTAATTCCATACAAGGAAGGAAGCTTGGAAACCTTACGCAGAATTCCTAACAAGGCAGGAATAAAAGTGACTGGAATTCAATCACCCACAAACTCAATTAATATCAAGCTTTTTCGGTTAAAGGATTAATCCTGTGGAGCTTTCAAAACAAAACAATTTAGTTTATTTAATACCCTGCAATGATTGTGAGGTCAAATACATAGGCCAAACTAGTAGAACAGGGGCAGTCAGACTAGCCGAACATAAAAACCTAGCTAAATCTAGACTGGTTGACCCGAATAAGATAAGAAATCTAGAGAGTAGTTCAGCTGTAGCACTACATGCAGTTACACACAACCATACAACAGGATGGGATGGGATGACAGTTTTAAAATCTAATGCAAGAGCAGGGTGGAGGGAGAGATTGATAACAGAAGCTTTGTTTATCGAATCAACTGCAAATACATGTAATAGGAATGATTCAACACCTGTCCCAGATATATGGAAAATTCTACTGCCCATACAACAAATAGGAGAAGACAGAGAAAACTATAAAAATCAAATCTCGAAGTCGTGTGACAAAAATTGATATGATTATGAACAATAAATTGTGTTCGAAACGTCATCCAGTATACAATACTGTTTCACTGTGTGATACATTTAATAAACAAACTAATATGGAATTATTTACTACCACAGTGCCCAAGTTTTACACATATATTATTACTACTATTACTTCTACTTAATTATTTCTGCTCAAGTTCTATTGAAAAATAGATTACTCGAAACTATCGTATGAAAGAATATATTCTTTCCAATCAAACGCTGACAATATTTTCAATTTTCAAGTAGTGGTTTTGCAGGGATTCGGTTTGATTGGTTACAGGATTTCATCACGAGCTGACATCAGTTAGAGAACTACTGGAATACCTAAGGGTACTGGGTAGCTGTTTCATCTTAAATTGAGACTCTTCAGCAATACGCACCCACCCTTGTGGGGTTCCGACAGAGGACCTTCTAATTACAAGGCCAGAGAACTCGTAGACCATTGAACCACTGAGACCCGATCCAATAGTCCTTGAATTCCATGCAATCTAACAACATCCCTACAAAACCAATACTTGAAAATCAATCTGATGCTCACTAGCGACTGGCCCTATTCAGGCACTTAACCTGAGATTCTCGTGGAAGGCCGTGACCAGTAGCGTACAGCAGGTTGAAGATGAGCTAGTAACTCTTCGAAGAAGACATTGCGAAATGGTCGCGCTATATCGTGAATTGGCAGAAGTTAGAATTCAAGGACCATTGGATTGTGTCCCAGTGGTCCTGCTAGCTCGCCTTGTAACCAGAAGCTCATGATTTTTAACCCCTTGTGGTGGGTGCACACTGTGAAGAGTCCCAAACTAGGACGAAACAGCTGTCCAGTACTCCCAGGGTTACCAGTGTTTCTTTCACTGATGTCAGCTTATGATGAATTCCTCCATTTTCAAAATTGTAGAGACAAAACTGTTTATGAAAGAATCAAGATGTATTCATTAACCGTCATATTCTCGCCGGAGATGAATAGCAGTATCTTCAAGCAAAACAGCTGCTTATTATGTCTCATCTAACTCACTACTGTTCGATCTAGAGCAAATATTTATTTCTGGGGATATTTCTCCTTCCCCGCCTCCCATAGAAATGTGCACAATGCCCTAGGATTCAGACAAGCCACAAACACCACGGGTGAACAGCGTAAATAAGACCGCTGCTCTGTGTGTGTGATACATTTAATAAACAAATTCATATGGGGTTAGTTAATGTCACGATGCTTAAGTTTCCCACATTTATTGATAATCAGGAAGTTGGAAATATACTTTAAGTTGTACACTTAAGATCATTTGACATTGCAAATATATATATATATATATGAAACTTCGGCACTGTGGTAGTAAGTAATACAATATTAATCTGTTTATTAGATGTATCACACAGTGAGTGAAACAGTATTACTGTTTACCGGATGACACAGTTTTGAACACAATTCATTATTGTTCATAATCATTCCATCAATTACAATCACACGACTTCGAAACTTGAGTTTTATAGTCTCCTTTGTTTTCATTTATAAAATTATATTTGTAAAATCTGAGCGAAATTGAAATGAGTCATTCCAACCTTTCCTGCGTTTGGTAATCTGGTCCGAACTTCGTCAGGGAAGTTAATCGAAATTAACATAAGTTTATGTATAAAAGGAACATCTCTTGTTTTTGAAACTTTGTCCTAAATGTGCCATGAAACAGGCATCAACATGTATAATAAACAAAACTGTATGTTTATATATAAAAGGATATCTCTTGTTTTAAATTGTTTGTTCCACATATCTGGAACAGATGTTGAAGCATTCCTGTTACATATATTTGCAGTTGATTCGAAAAACAAAACTTCTGTTATCAATCTGTCCCCCCACCCTGCTCTTGCATTAGATTTGAAAATCGTCATCATTTCTCGTCCGATTGTATCTTTGTGCATAAGTGCATGTGGTTAGTTGTTACAGCTGAACTATTCTGTAGAATTCTCATCTTATCACTGGGATCAACTAATCTAGATTTTCAAGTATTGGTTTTGTAGGGATTTTCTTCGATTCCATGCAGGATTTCATCATGAGCTGACATCATTTAGAGAACCACTGGAAAACCAGCTGGGAGTACTGGACATCTGTTTCGTCCTAGTTTGGGACTCTTCATCAGTACGCACCCATCCCAAAGGGGTTCGAACCCAGGATCTTCTGGTTACAAGGCGAGCTAGCTCGTAGACCATTGAGCCACTGGGACCCGATCCAATGCTCCTTGAATTCTAACTTCTGCCAATTCACGATATAGCGCCACCACTTCGCAATGTCTTCTTTGATGAGTTACTACTTCATCTTCAACCTGCTGTACCCTACTGGTCACGGCTTCCTACTAGAACCTCAGGTTAACTGTCTGAATAGGCCAGTCACTAGTGAGCAGTCACGAGCTCACCTTGTAACCAGAAGGTCCTGGGTTCGAACCCCTCTGGGATGGGTGCGTACTCAAGTCAAAAAAAAAATCAACCCGTTTCGGTTTAATCTAACTAAAAAAACCAAAACCTAAATATTGAGAAGGAAGGCGCAGAACCCCTTTGGGATGGGTGCGTACTGCTGAAGAGTCCCAAACTAGGACGAAACAGCTGTCCAGTACTCCCAGCTGGTTTTCCAGTGGTTCTCTAACTGATGTCAGCTGATGATGAAATCCTCCATGTAATCTAGATTTCATTTCTAGGTTTTTATGTTCCGCTAGTCTGACTGGCCCTGTTCTTCTAGTTTGACCTATGTATTTAACCTGACAATCATCGCAGGCAGGGTATTATATAAACTAAATAGCTTTCTTTAGTTGGCTCCATAGAATTGATCCTTTAACCGACAAAGCTGATTTCCAATTGAGATTTTGGGTTTGAAGCCAACCATTTTTATTCCTGCCTGCCTTGTTAAGAATTATGAGTAATTATTCCGAGGTTCCTTCCTTGTATCGAATCACTAATGATGATTTAGATTCCTTATTGTTGGTGTTGTCATTGTCCTGCACATGTTTGACATGCATGTCATCATTAATATCACTAGTATTATCATTATCACTATCACTACTATCATTACTTAGTTTAATTTTATATTTCCCTACATATTTCCTGATTAATTTATCCGGGTTATTATTAAGTTTCAAGGCATCTTCATGTGCATCACTTCCTGTCTTAGAATTTCCTTGGTACTACTTAGTTTTTGTGCTTTGTCATTAAAACATTTCACTAATCCTATTTTTACTGACATAGGATGGGATGATCGGAAATCCAAATATCTGTTTGAATGTGTGGGTTTTCTGTAAACGCTAGTGTTTAACTTTCCATCTTCTTTCCTTTTTACGTTGCAATCTAACATTGGAAGTTCCTCTTCCTGACTTTCCAATTCATTAGTGAATAGAATTGCCTCCATCTTTGAGTTAAATGTGTTTAAAAAATCTCCATATATATCCTGTGTTCTAAGTACAGTGAATGTGTCATCTACATACCTACACCATACTTCTGGGGCGTGGCTGAACCTTTCAATCGCTAACTTCTCCTAATTAACCATGAATATATCTGCTACAAATGGAGATATTGGTGACCCCATGGCAACTCCCTCAGTTTGCTTGTATATTTTCACCTACAATTTAAATACTGTGAAAGTCAGGCATAGCTGCACTCCCAGCATTATGTCCTCAAGTGACACTCTCGCTCTAAGTTCGAGTTCTTGGTCAAAAATGAGTTGGCCTCTGACTGCCTCTATAGACATATTTATTGGTATACGTGTATATTAACTGACATTGCAATATATATATATATACAAATATAGTCTTAAAATATAGGATAAAAATAATAGTGCGAATTTTAGTGTCTATTGTGTAATCCCAGCGTCGGTGGCACAGTGGTAGAGGGCTCAACAACCATGCAGGTGGTTTGGGGGTTTGCTCTCTAACTGACTCGCTCGTTCACGTCGCTAAACCACTATCAAGATGGGTAAAGAGAGAAAGTTGTGAGGCATGTCGCTAGCAACCCCATTCCGTAAAAATAAATTCCCACTGCTACCAAAACTCCGAAGCTATAACTTGTAGCCGCATGTTTCAGTGGGAAAAGGTAAAGAAATAAAAAGAAATTGCATAATCCCCAGAGAATGCAGTAAAAACTTCATCTCACCTGCAACAATTAGAAAAGTGAGCTGAATAGATTTCATTTTCGCTCGAGAAAAAACATTATTACAATCTAGTTGATTCCGGACAAACAGTGAATGATTATTATTATTTTTTGTTAGAGAAATAGAACGTGGTTTCGACTGGTGACAGCGGATACTTGCAGTTTCATCGTCATGCATATTACTCGACAGACATTCTTGACCATTTGTCTTCATCTGGCCTGTGCCGCATGAAACTGCTTTATGCCAAAAATGATTGCTAGCTTCTGTATGTGACCCTGATGCTCTTGAATAGCTTGCTCCATCATCACTATGAAGTAATTTTGAACGCTTATGTTCATCATTATGAAGATCACTCAAACAGTCGCCTTGTGTATGGATAGTATTACGCGGCAGAGAACTTTTAACTTTCCATATTGTTCTTATGATAATTGCATGAGTTAAAATTATTATAAGAACAGGTATGAAGAAAATCAATACGACCATAACGACTAAATAGATCTGTAAGTAGAAGAAGAACAAGGAGAGAAATGAGAATTATCCTGTAATTAGCACAAATGAGAATCAATAAGCTGAACACGGAATTCATAAATCCTAACTGAATTGAGGTAACCGAAGGTCAGGTGGCTTAGACACTAAATTCAATAGTTGAGAGTAATCTGACTGCTAAGAATAGAAACCCTAGAGCACACACACACATACACCAAGACTTTATGGTGTTTTCTGCCTTCCTTCTCTGCCAGTGTGTTGGTTTTCTCGCTTAGGTCTTCAAGTTTATGTGTCACTAAACACAAATTATTATTTACAATGTTCAGATCCAACTTATTCCTGTCTCATACATTTATTCCTCTTAATAAATTTTAACAAAACAACAGCTACAGATTTTGCAGAATGCAGTGGTACCATCTTTTAGTTCGATACCTTATCGTCAGCTGCTTACTGAGCAAAGACATTATTGAATATATCTACAAAAACAATTCTAACATACTTGCACAGAGTTCATTTTAAACAAAAATCAATCAGTCAATATATACATATAGTAATAATATATGTATATAATATTAAACACTCTTCGGAACAATAATCATCATACACAAAGAAAACTTCTCAGCATTTCGCATTAAGATGAAAAAGGGATGAAAATATCTAGTACACGTCGCATTTACTTGAAGCACGGACACTTTTATGTGTCTTCAAAGGCTAAGTATGTTGATAAAAGTTTCATTTAATTCTCATGCTTCTCTGATCACGTCGTGTGAATTGAACAGCGACTGTGTCATATGCTTTTGTCGTAAAAGCGTCACTTAGTCTAATTTTCGGCTTAAAATTAAAATTTAACGTGAGATAGTTATTATAAGATTCTACTATCGAATTCATCTTGTTTATAGACTGGATGTCCTAGAGTCACTTTGATACTCGGTGTAACCGTGTAAAGGTGAAAAAATTAGCTATATTCGTATCACTACTACTATGCAGGAAAGTAAAAACGAAACCTTATTTAGGGTAAAAAGGAAACAGGTATGCAGCGATACGAAAAAAACCAGCTCACTGTGGTTTGAATGCAGAAAAACGACCTATGCTTTCTGCAGATAAAAGTTTGGATAGGACACCCAGTGGCTGAATGGTCTACGAGCTAGCTCGCCTTGTAACCAGAAGATCCTGGGTTCGAACCACTTTGGATGGGTGCGTACTGATTAAGAGTCCCAAACTAGGACGAAACAGCTGTCCAGTACTCTCAGGTTTTCCAGTGGTTCTCTAACTGATGTCAGCTCACGATGAAATCCTCCATGCAATCAAACAAAATTTTCTTCTCTGCAACTGTCTTTTTATTCCCTATCATCAAATTTATAAAGGGGGATTTGTCTATAAGTGAGTAGGAGATCATGTATAGATTAGTAAAGCAATATGCATTACTGTTAACTACGTAAAAAAGACACTTACTTTCCAATATAACGGTGGCCAAGAAATGCTACATTGTACACCGAATTGAGGTGAATGTGATATATGAAAGAAAATCAGTGATGGGATGTTGAAAAGTAGGGCGAATAACCAGCCTAAACCGCACAATGTTATCGTATAAAGATCTAAAATAAGAGTGATCATCGAAACACCAATTTAAATGGCCTAAATTCATGCAAAACATTCATTTGAATGTCAACTGAGTCATTCTGAAATAATAATAATAATAGTAAGAATATCCCATGAATATACACTTTATCTAAACACAATAAATATTTATGCATATATATATATATATATATATATGTCCAAACAAAGAATAGAGGCAGTGGGTGTATGATATTCATTATTATAAAAGTCATCCATAATAATAATAATGATTTACTTTATTCCAAAAACAATATTTGTGATACAAAATGGTATTTTCAGCATTAGTCACAATATTGCATCTAATTTCCTCAAATTATAAATAAAAATTAGTCACACAGAAAATCTTCCACATTTACAATAGAGTTAGTGTCAAAAACATGCAGCATATAAAGTGGAAATAATAATAATAATGATAACAGCTAGGGTAATAATAATAACACAAGTGAAAATTACTGTGGGCTTGTTTAACACAGTATCGGCAATGTGGTATAGAAATCCTAGATGTTTAAAAATATTGAATATAGTGTTCTCTTTACATGATATGGTGAGGGGAAAAACAAAGATTACTGCCGTCATGGAGATAAGTTGGTGTTTGCAATTATGAGAGTAAAACAAGCGAAGAAGCAACAGGACCATAAATATAATAGAAATAATAAAAGTATAACTTGAAGGTATGTATATAAGGAGGGATGGAGGATATTGTTTATTTAATAGATGAAAAAGGGTTAGTTAATTCTTCTTGCCTGACACTATTTTCACCTCACAAAATACGTCCCAAGTATGGTATCATAGAATTTTCATACTTAGACGTGCAAGCATACAGTTTTCTGAAGTTACTTCTTGTTCTACCTGAGAAGGAGATGCAAGGTGAAAGCTGAGGGAGGGTAAAGTGGATGCTCCAAGTCAGACAAAATCCCTTTAGCAAATTTATCGCACGACGTTAAGTGCCTATCGACAACGACGTTAACTATGTGGTCCACTGGGACACCACTCACCCTACTGACTGACCGTCTTCAGTATTCTACGAATTGTGACATAGTCGATTTTAAGCAAACTAGGAAAGAATAAGGGTGAACAATAAACAAGAAGAAAAGGTAAGATGCAAGAGTTTATGAATTAACTGTAAGAGGAGGGTTTGAGTTATACTCGAGTGCCTTCCTTAACTTCTTAATGTAAAATGTCAGGCGGAATATTTTACTGAAGATCGCTAAGACATGGGAAGTCCAGGAGAGATCGAAAGAGGGAATAAGTCCAAGATACTTAATCTCTGAATTAATTCTATATCGTTGTCGTCAATCTTACAACTGCCATGAGAATCGATGGCTTCTTTTGACATCTTTTACATGTTAAGATGAAATTACCTCATACCTACGAATCTGAATTTTCGACTAATGAGACTGTGGGGATCCCTAGTAACAAGCCTGATTTCTGCATCCAAAAGAAGTTAGTTCAGACAATATCCTTACCGCTTGGCCATCTAGGTTTGAATGATCCTCAATTTTTGTGGAATTTTCCCTAATTTTAGTTGATATTCTATTTGCTATTATATCTTTATTATTATTATAATTTAAGCATCTTTAATGAACTGTAATCCCATCATAATCTTACTTTATAAATCGATATAATTTAAAAAAACACTAATATTGATATTGTCTACTATTCTAGAGTATTCTATGTATATCGGCACATATACATATTTAATTGTAGAGCCAGAAGAGGAATTCATTCAAAAGAATATTCTTTGCTCAATTATTCTGTGCATTATAAAGGTGTTTATATTTCTCAATGAATGAAGAACAAACCGACATTTTAGCTTTTGCTGCCAAGTGCTTTATCGAAGTAATAATATTAAACCAGAATTTACAAAACGCCACCTCATATAACAATGCAATCATCATTCATCAGCATGAGATAAATTTTCTTTTGTCAAGTTGGCTAATTGGTAAAGATGACAAAACCACGTATAGATTGTTGGATCGGATAAGTGCATAAAAGTGAACTAGAAAGGCTTGAAAAATCATCAGGCATACCCCATCTACATGCCACACTTTAGAATCAGGCCACAAAATTAATTAATTCTCAAAATATTGAAATAATCTAGAAAAGGTAATTCAGAAATCACAAAGAACGTCATACATCTCAATCAGAAGCACTTCATTTCAAGTGGAATCCAAAATTTTCTGAATACGAATGTTGACTGAAAACAAAATTTGACCTGGTTACAACACCCTACGTCACTTTGCCATGAAATGACAAAATCCACGTAATAATAATCTACTTTATTCCAAAAACAGCACTACTTATAATTCTCAGCATTTGTCACAATATTCCATCTGATTTACTTAAAATATAAATAAAATTAAAAATTAAAACAAAATTAACCGCAGGGATTTGTCCACGTTTATGATATGAAGTCATAAGTACTCGAAGCACGAATTGAGAGTATTAAATATAATAATAATAATAACAGTGAGTTTGTTTCAAACAGTATTGTCTATTCAGTTTGGAAATTTTAGCATGTTATAGATTATTGAATCTAATGTTCTGTTGATATAGCAGCATGGTGAGGGGAAATACAGAATTAACAGTTATAACACAGCTTAAATGAGGTTCACACTTATGAAAAATATAAACAAATAAAAACAAAAAAATTGAGAGGATTATGAATATAAGAAATACAATAACAATAAAGTTTGGTACTGTAAGGGTGGAAGAAATGGTTTATTTAGTAGTGCAAAGAAGGTTAGTTAATTCATGCCTAACACTATTTTCATAATATAAAGTACGTGCAGAAAAATATGGTAAAGGGAATTTTTATACTTACACGTACATGCATGAAGTCTTCTGAAATGACTTCATGTTTTACCTGAGGAGGAGACAGAAATTGGGAGCTGCGAATTCTCCTCACAATCTGACAAAATTCCTTCAGAAAATTTGTTGCAAGACATCAAGTGCCCATCAGTGACAATGTCAACGATAAGGCCCAATGGGTTAGCTGCCACTCGTCCTACTGACAGTCTAGGTGACATCTCCGAAATCACTGCAAGACTTTTCAAACCTTTAGGAATTGACGTCACACACAAACTGACAAAATCACTTCACTAAGTTCTATGTCAACCAAAAGACTCAACAACGTAAGAAGATAGAACCAAAATCATCTACAAAATAAATTGTAACAACTACGAAAAACGCTGCATTGACCAAAGTGGACGTCCCCTTCGTCTGCAAATCTATGAATATAAGCTGTCTGTCAAAAGACATGACATACACGCCATCACTCATATCACCTCAATGCATACAGACAACCACAGATACCAATTCGAATGGAACAACCAACGTTCGTATATTGGACGGAGAAAACACCAAGAATGTTGGCGAATTTTTAGAAGACTGCCTGGTATTCCAGTGAATCGTCAATCAGTAGACACGTCGAGATAGACAAAACTCAACAATCGATAAGAAGGAAATCTCACAAACAAAGGGTCAAAGTTCAAGTCAAAGAAACAATCAGTTCCAATACAAGTAGCCTAGAAGGTTTGAAAACACACAAAAACAACCAGACACCACTTTGAGGGTCACCCACCAGGAGAGATGACTAATAAACTCGTGGAGAAATCTGAAAGCTCACTTCAACGAATTGAAGTATGCTCTGAAGATATTGCCTAGTGGGGCGATGAAAGCTTCTCAAATCAACTATCCACCTCAGAGAACACAACCACATAAAAAAAATCAATCATATATGCATAAAATTCTAATAAGGATACACGCTTTATCCCAAACAACAATAATAATCATACACAATGGAATCCTTCAATATTGCGTAGTCAGATGATAGAGAGGATGAAAATATTTAACCACCATGGCAAGGAAAGAGTGATAACCGTTTCCTTCCGAACGCATAATTTGAGTTTTCAGGCGCTAGATTTAGATCGCTTCGTCGGACTTTAAGTAGAATTGAACTCTTTTGCCTACTGATAATTTGAACGATGTTAAGACGCCATCCTCATGATCCATGTCTAAGAGATGCCTGGCAATGTCACTGTTTAAAGCATTTCTTTCACCTTTAGACACAGGCATTTCGGTATAAATGTTCAGAAAATCGTAGATATATTCTTCCCCTCATTTGCTTTCAATGTAGTTATTCCCGCATATACATGTAAATTTGGACGTACTTTGCTAATACGAGGTGACACCGACAATTGTACATCTCATCCAGCACTTGTACGACAACGCGGGATGTCAAGTAATCCACAACGGTAAACTCACGGAATCCTTCGAATAAGTAAAGACGGGAGTAGGACAAGGCCGCCTACTATCTTCAATGATTTTCCAGATTGCGATAGATTGGATAATGCGACAGACGGCAGGCAGCGAAGAAACAGGCATAAGATGAACCGTTACAATAAACTTGGAGGATCTGGACTTCGCCGATAACATATATATGTCTGATTTCCCACAAACTGGAAGATATGCAAGTGAAAAGCAACAAGTTGGAAGATGAAACATTAGAGATAGCACTTCACTTCAGAGTAACATACAGAAGACAGAGGTGAGGAAGATTCCTGGACAATAGTGATAGCAGCAACAACGACAGACAACAATCAACCAGCATAAATGGGAGGAACCTGAAAAAAGTGACCCTCTTCACCTATCTACCCACAGACATGGGAAGCATCGTTTCAACTAATGCGGGACTGACGAGGATATTAAAGCAAGGATCGCGAAAGAAACTCAAGCTTTCATTACTCTCAAGTCTGTGTGGAGGTCAACAACACTCAGTATGAAAAGTAAGATCCGGAATTTCAACTCCAATGTGAAGTCAGTACTACATACTATACGGATCAGAGACTCGACCAGCTCACCATGAAGGGTTCCTCAAACAAACTACAGACCATAAACAGCTGACTTCGATCAATACTGAGGATCAGATGGCTGGCCAGAAAAGATCAGCAACAGGGATCTCTTGCAATGAGCGAAACAACCAACTAGGAACAGATTGTGCAACAAATATGCAGAAAGAAATGGAGGTGAATTGGCTGGCCATACTCTGAGGAAACCACCAAGTGATATCACTAGACAAGCCCTCTAGTGAAAACCGAGAAAGAAGTGGTGAGTTGATCGTCAGTGTGAGGGTGACTTGGAGGAGGTCACGTGAAGAGGAGATGAAAGCATGTGGGCAGACTTGGAGTCAGGTGAAAACTTTAGCAGAGAACTGAAGACCTGCAGCTGAAGCCCTATGTTCCTCTAGGAATTAAAGGGAATCATATCATTATTATAATACTAGAAATATGTATAGGAATGCAAAACTCCTTTAAAGTGTCCTATTCTGTGATATTTTCTCGACTAAATTTGTGTTAACCACTGTATAACAACAACAACAACAAAAATATATTTCTGGGTAATGAATTACCTTGGTCATAAATTCTTGAAAATGGCCACTTGATTGCAATACACCGATCGATACTTAAAGATAATAAGGCATATGAACTGCTCATAATACTTGTATTCTGTAAAACAAAGTAAAAAAAATATAAATGAAAAAATCAGAAGACACTTAACTTTACAGAAGTATACTTGATTATGAAATACAAACCATAGAAGCATTTTCCGGGAAACAGTATTACTGCTTACTGGATGACACAGTCTCGAACAAAAATAATTTTTCATAAACATTCCCTCAATTATAATCACACGACTTCGAAACTTGAGTTTCATGCTTTTCTTTGTTCTCTCCTAATCATCGTCGTTTGGGTGATAGAATTTTCCAAATTTCTGGATGGGCAGGTGTTGAATCATTCTTATTACACGTATTTGCAGTTGATACAGTATTAGATTTGTAGCGTAAAAAGGAGAGAAGATGGGAAGTTAAACATTAGTGTTTATAGGAAACCCTCACATTCAAACAGATATTTGGACTTCCGATCATCCCATCCAATCTATATCAGTGAAAATAGGATTGGGGAAATGTTTCGTTGGCAGAGCACAAGAAATTAAGGAATACCAAGGAAAAATTAAGGTAGAAAGTGATACAAATAAAAAAGCCTTGAAACTTAATAATAACCCGGATAACTTAGTCAGGAAATATTTAGGAATATGTGAAAATAAAATAAACAATGATAGTCTAGATAGTGATAATAATAATAGTAGTAATATTAATGATGAAATGCATGTCAAACATGCACAGGATAATGACAACACCAACAATAAGGAACCTAAATCATCAGTAGTAATTCCATGCAGGCAAGGAACCTCGGAAACCTTACGCAGAATTCTTAACAATACTGACAGGAGTAAAAGTGGCTGGCATTCAAACCAACCACAAACTCAATTAGAAACAAGCTTTGTCGGTTAAAGGATCAATCTTGTTAAGCTCATAAAACAAAACAATTTATTTTATCTTATACTCTGCCTCCAATAGTTCTCATGTAATATACATAGGCCAAAAAAGTAGAACAGGGTTCAGTGAGTCAGGCTAGCGGAGCATAAAAGCCCGTCAAAATCTAGATTAGTTGATCCGAGTAAGATAAGAAATCTGGAGAATAGTTTAGCTATATCACACATTACATGCAATTACACACAACACAACCATACGAATAAGATGGATGGAATGAGATGACAGTTTTAAAATCAAATGTACCAGCAGGTTGAAGGGAGAGATTGATAACAGAAGCTTTGTTTATCGAATCAACTGAGAGAGAATACGTGTAATAGGAACGATTTAAACACCTTTCCCAGATATCTGGAAAATACGACTACCCTAACGACGACAAATAGGAGAAGACAAAGAAGACTATTAAACTCAAGTTACAAATTGTTCGATTATAATTGATATGATTATGAACAATAAAAAATAGTGTTCTAAACTTTGTCATTCAGTAAATAATAATATTGTTTCACTGTATGATACCTTTAATAAACAAACTATTGTGGAATTACCTACTGTGCACAACTGTTACACATATATCAGTTTACAATCAGTTAAAGAGACATGGAGACCTAAGGAATGCGCAGCAAATATTCTGTCTTAATTTGACACCCTTCATCTGTAGACACCATCAGCCAGGACGTTTAGGTTACAAGGTGGGCAAGCAGACCACTGAACGACGAGGGCCTTTGAATTAGAACTGATCTACTGATTCGCAGCACATGTCCGTGGAACCACTAACCAATGTTATCGTCGAGTATTTCTATCGGCGAACTCGAATTGGTGAACTCTGCCTGGAATACAGTCATCCGGAGTGAAGTCATCGATACGTACTGTGAAGAAGCGCCGAACTAAGTTTAAACAGTTGTCAAATAGTCTCTGCTTTTCGACGGCACTCTGAGTGATGTGTCAATTCATGTCAAATACCTGCAAACTAATATTTGGAGACTACGTTATTCTTCCGCATGGGTTGAAAATGCTATAAACCTCATTTCAAGCTAAGTAACAAAAGATAATTTAGCTAAGCGAAATGCTCAGAAACACATAAAAGTAGAAAGTCAACAAAACCTAATGAAGGTTATGTTGACAACTGATTTTGCACAGGTACGTTTCATGGCACTGTTTGTCTAATCTTTGTTTTCAATAGATGTATACATGCATACACACGTTGACATCATGTCGTCTGTCTGTCTGTTATTACTTCCCATTGAAGAATGCTCAATTCACCTATGCTTATTAATCATAATGTCACTCTTATCATCTGTCTGACTTAAGAAATCGAAATGCATAAATTAATTATTTGCCTAATTAATAATTTCGAGTATGCTGGACACTAAATCAGACTGTAATCACTCGAGCTATTGTCGAAAACATGTTTTTTTCTATCGTTTACACTTCAATGTAATATATTTGTTTATACAGTGATTGTAAGGCCTGGGAATAAGTAAGTTGCTCTTCATTAAATGACGTTCATTTCTCATAATATAATAACTACCATATAAAAACTAAGAACACCATGTTCAACGAAGTAATTATTCTCAAAGGATTTACCACCAAGGTATACAGTCATGTATATAAATATATATATATATCAAACGAAGAATACTTTTTTCGGTAACTTCATCGCCAGGCTCTACAGTTATAAATGCATTGTAGCGAATGAATAAATCAATGTTATGAACAACAATAATGTTGTTTAAATAACATTGAATCGATAATAATAATAATGTCAGTGAATTACAGTTCAATAGCATCAGCATAACAATAAACTGAATGTCTCAAAAAATTAGGAAAGATAACAATAATACAATGAACTCATGAATTTCTAGTCTCCACTGAAGGCCAGGGCGATAGTAAGGGCTGGCTGGACTTGCTTCTTCTGCACACATAGCAATGATTGTGTTTACGAGAATCGCAATAACCTCTGATGTTTGAAGAATACTGTACTTCGATGATTTTTGCAATTAATTAAGCAGCCGGTAGATGATGTGTGCGTCGGTGGCACAGTGGTTAGGACTGTCGCCGACCGTGCATATGGTCCGAGGTTCGATCCCCCTGCCACCGACGCACACCTGATATCTATGGTTGGCCTGCAAAATTTGGGCTACCGATATCCATGCTGAAAATTCCATACTTGTACCAAAAATACAGTGTGGAATCAAGCTGTAATCAAAAAACAAATAAAGGATGAGAGAGACAGATTCTTCAACGGTGGCTACCTTTGAGGCTGGTTTGCATCAGATATTCTTATATCGAACTGATGATTGTTTTCACTACACCTTTACTTAGCCATACTACGAGATGTTCTCGAGAGAGAATGAAAAATCAAGTTCCTAAAAAGCGGCCGATATAACTGGCTTCACAAGAGCAGTTGAATTGGTAGATACAATTTGAAGTGGCTAGCCTAGTCTAGGTACTTCATCTTTCAGTCGAGGAATCACCATCAATCGTGTAGAGAATAAGACGTGTAGTTTACCAGCATTGAAAGTTCTTTCAACTGATTTTCTTAATTTCTTCTTAACTACTTCACTTGGTATATCGCCGTTGTAATGCATTCATTTACATAAAGAGGCCTATTGTTTACGGTGGTGAGTAGTCCTTTTCTGCTTTCGTTGTCATGTGTTTCTTGATAAATTTGTCTGGATAGCTCTTTTCGATCAAAGCATCATACACCATGCTTAATTCATCTTCGATTACCTCATCTGAACAAATAGCTCTAACTCCGTGGCTGAGGGTCCTTGCTGAATTTCTATTGTACTGGAGAGGAACGAAGCTATGAAGAGAAACAAATTATAGAGGAAGAAATTTCTTACGCAATGGTGTTTCCACGGCAACCATTAGTGTTAAACAGGATGATGAGAAGATATATTTAAGAGCATCCTTGTCTTGACTAGCCGTTTTATTTGGTTTTAAACCTATGCGGAATTTCAAAGTATTTTTGAAATAAGTATAAAACTTGGGGAGTGTGGTAGACTAGAAATCTATAATGAATAAGATTTTATGTTGACAAATCACACAGTGATGCTGTACAGTAAGTACTGCTTACTGATGCAACCACGTTTCAAGCACAAATTATCGCCACTCATAATCATATCAAGTCACTCACTCAAACAACTCTCTTCCTTCATTTATATACATGTGTGGAATCGATGATTAGACATTTGAATACAAAATCAATGTAGGATACTGTAGATTCAGGAGCATTAATATGAGTGTTATTGATCAAATAAAATCAGTCGGGAAATAAGACGAGTGTTTTTACAGTCAAGATAAATAAGTAACTTGTTGTGATGTTGTGATGTACGTGAATTGAATTGAAACAGAATTTTGAGATTATTTATTATCCTCCTCTGATTTGGCTTACCGACTGACTGACTGACTGGTGGTGATAATATCTTCCATGCATATCTGTGGTTTTTGCATTGAGTCATTTGTGTTGCATGTGTTGTGTTGGATGTAGGTAGACTGGATGAACCAGGCAGGATTCAGTAATCAACCTCTGTCTATCCCCACCGACATAGTTTACTTCTCCCACCGTATTGTGTATTTTTGTGTTAATGCATGCAGTGCAATGTAGGGCTGAGAATTTCTCTAAATTACTAATCTTCCTGGGTGGGATCAATCATTCTTACCATAGCTAAATTCTTATGTTCAGACACGCAATCTGACTACCCTTGACCTACCAGTTTGCCCTATATAGTTGACCACACTCACAGTCATTGCAAGTTATCGAGTCATTTTGTCTAATTGGATCCACTGGGTCTTCTAGCCTTCAGAGGTTGTCTCTGAGAAGGAGACATCCTATAGAAAATTAAGGCAGCCGTCCTGTACCGCCTAGCTGCATCAGTGGTTCAATGGTAAGATACATACTAACTATGTACGTGGTCCGGGTTCGATTGCTGGTCAAACTACTGCTAAACATTGTTCATCAGTTGGTAAGTCTTGTTTAAATAAGTGTTTGCGAACCAGGCTAGCAACCCCACCTCGCAAAACAAAAAGAAAAAAAATGAAGATTGAAGTCCCACAAAACCTTCAGAGTTCAAAAGCATCATAGGATTTCGCAAGACTTTTATATTACTGATG